TGCAGCCCTTCTTCACAAGGAAGAGGAAGAACCAAATAAGTGTCATCACTTTGGCTTATTTGTTAATGAAGAAATTTAGTGTTCTCTCTAACTTTGTAAAATAGGTCAAACTATATTTCTCTTTCACTTTTTCTTTTATTGGCCTCTTTCCTTCCTCTATAAGGCACTTTTGTGTAGCTGTTTTGTCCCTGTATACTGTGGCGTGATCCCACCACAATATAAAGGAGAGGTGAGTAAAAGTGTTTGTACCAAGTGCTCTGTGACAACATGCCTAAAACTACATAAATACACTAAACCAACACACAGCCCAGAATAAGCTATAAATACAACACCTGTTTACTTTGCCAGCACTATATGGATGGAGGTTTCACAAACATCCAGCCCTTAGAGGATTCCTCTCCCACCCTCACCATCTCCCCATTTGCTGGACACATGGACATCTGTCCGTCCGATACCTCCACCATCCTGTGCGATGTCATCATCCAGCAGCTCTCCTTCCAGTGCTCCGTCACCAACTGCATCCGGCTGGTAGATGCCTTGTTCCCTCGAGACTGGAGGGTGAGTTCTGTAACTGTGTCCTAACACAGGCACTTCTATGGTGCCTTTTTGTTATTTTCAGAGTAAACACAACTAGTGTTGGGTGATATGCTCAGTTTTCATATCGTCCTATCGTCAGCCTGTGAGATCGCCGATACACTATATTATCGTGTTAATTTATTTAATTGTTTATTTACTTAGTTTCATTGCCGGAAAGTGAACCAACTCCAGCGTAAGGCTAAAAACAGCCTTTTTAATGTGACTGAATTTCTATTTAACATGATAACAATTCAATAGAAATATTGTAAGTTACTCATTATAATGCTTATATTTCCTCAGTTATTCAAAAAGCAGCTACAGAAAACGAGCAAAGACCATTTGCATTACCATTTGCAAAATCATCACAAGCTCAGTCTAGTGCGAGTTTATGCACATTAAAGGGGTCATTTGATGCGATTTCAAGTTTTCCTTTCTCTTTGGAGTGTTACAAGCTGATTGTGCATTGATAAGATCCCTGAAGTTGCAAAGACTAAAGTCTCAATACCAAAGAGGTATTCTTTATAAAAGTTAAGACTCTGCCACGCCCCTCTAAAATGTCTCGTTCTAACACGCCCCCACATATCTACCTCACTATGTGGAAATAATGTTCACGCAAAGAAAGAAGCCGTGGTTTCAGTAACCGCAATTAGTGTTGAAGCAGCATGTCAGGG